GGGGGGGTCTTCGACCTGAAAAATCAGGGGTTAGGATTTGCACCCGGTCGAAAGAAACCTTGCTATCGCAAGAGTAACTCCAGCTAGCTTCGCTAGCTTTCGTGATAATATGGAAGTTTTATTAATCAAGAGTCAGGTTACACTATCATATCATTCTTCTTGTGGTTTGTAGGACCAATTCACCGCTGGCGTCGGTCTCACCCCCAAAACACCGGGGCTTCACCCGCTTCACCCGGTGAAGCTTGGCTCCTTTGTCATTTGGCGGCAGTCCGCTCCGAAGCCTGAGCATCTTCAGAACGGAGAAGGGATAGATGGAGCATTGATCATCTATCCCATGAGAATGCTGATCCATCGATAGCTTCCATCGATAGCTTCCATCCATCCAATCATTCTATTTATCCATGATAAACAATCATTTATCCCATGAACACCTATCTATCTATTTATCTATCTATAATACTGGTGCGCGGTTCCAACCGTGGCCTTCGAAAGGTTTTTTTTTTGAGAGTTCTGACTTGATTTCTCCTCCTTAACTATACAACTCAAAACACCCACACCCACACCCACCCACACACTTTAGTCCGCATACTTTTTGCAAGACGTGACTTGACTTGTGCCGCAACGAACAAATAGATGCGTACCTACATGTACCTACAAACTCCCAGACTCCCAACCCACAAGAAGACACGTCACTGCGACACAACAAGTCACGTCAGGTGAGTGATCGCCTGCGGATCTCGTCTTCCATCCGCTGGATCCTCTGCTCCTCACGCCTCTTTTCTTCGTTGGCCTTCCTGGCGTTTTTTTTCCGCGGGCCAATGGGCCACACACGCCCGATGTGAGTCCGTGGTGAAAAGGGGGGACAAGAACAGAACAGCGGCATATAATTACATAAGAGGTGGAAGATCTACCATGATCTACCGAAATCGCAGTTCCAGTGGACGATCGCAGTTGGCTGACATTCATCTCATTTCACATACTGCGATTATGAGCCACAAGTGCTGTACACAGGCCCTCAAGTAGAGAACAAGCCAGCTTCCTCTACATCTCCAAAGGTGATGCACTTCACTACTCATTTCAGAAAACTGACAAAAGCATACAAACGCCTCAAGATTTCGCCCCAAAAGCGTCCCGAATCCTCCAAAACCATTCTCACCAAATCCCCACCTTCGACCCCCTACCTTGAGACCACACCAGCCTCCCTGGTGACACATGTGACACCCCTTGGGGCTTCCGGCTGGAGTTCCTCCCGCAGTGCGGACATTTCCTGCCAGCGGTCGCCGAACTGGTGCATTCCAAGTTTCCCCCAAAAGTGTAGCAGAAACATAGGTAGGCCGGACTCTTGATAGATGGACTCTTGATGGGCATGGGTAGATGGACTCTTGATAGTGTAACTAAACATAGGCATAGGTAGATGGACTCTAATAGATTTCTCTTGATGGGAGGCCCAGCCTCAGAAGCCTCAAGTGATGTGAGAAGCATCTGAAACAATTCCCTCGTGCCTTGTGATGCGCCTCGAGCTTGGTCAGGGAGTCCGTCACCTGAAGCCGGCGAAGTTCCTGGTGCCCCTCTTCCTGTATGATTTGACCTCAAAGAGATCTACAATTTTGCGCGGGCGGGATCGCATTGTAACAAGTACATACAGTAAGTAATTCTACGGCAACCAAAACAAGGCCATAAGACTCATAAGACCACAGCGACATGCTGCGCCATGCTGCGCCTCCTCACGTGCTTTCATGGCGTGTTCCTGCAGCGAAAGGCTCAAGGCTCAGGGACCCAAAAAAGCTTCTCACATGACATTTCGTCAAGTACTAAGCAGTTGTGCAGGGTGGTGCAACCTTTCTTCTTGAAACCTCAAGGATTTCCAGTACGAGTAGTGTCTCTCTTATCCTGCCAGGCAGCCCCACAACCGCCAGCGAACATGGACGTTTGACCGCACGAAGTCAACTGACAACTGGCATACAAACCTCAAAATGCAGCAAATTCTACCTCCCCAAACAAACATGGACCCAGCGATTGTTTTTTTGGGGTGTTCCCTGAGGTTCCAGGGGATCTCAACCAGATCTGTTGGGAACGTTGGGAAGAAGGCTCCTTCGAAGGCAATGATGATTCGACGATCCATCACTGATCCCATCCAATTCACCCGGCCTGGTGCCGCTTGGCTGCCTCGGCGTGCTGGTCCCTTTCCCTCTCCAACGCTTCCGCCCGCTGCTTGTGGCGCTCCAACTCCAACTTCATCTCCGTATGCCTCACCAAAAGCCCCA